GACTGCTTCTGCTTAGTCTGAGTCTATCCCTAGGTGCCTACAGGCAATGCCCAAAATGACTGGACTTGCTTTCTCTTGACCAGCATGACTGTGTAAACAGAAAGAATTAGCATTAAAAATATTACTGTATCTAAAAAAAAAATATAAAAATTTAAGCAGTGGAATAGCAGTAACAGCAATGAAAACAGGTCTTTCTAGAAGGGTGTGAGGGAGCTGAAGCAGCAGTAGCATACCACATTAAACATTACTCTGGAGTAAGGGTGCACATGCACATAATGGAGAAGTAATATTAAGCTGATTTAATTAAGCTAGCACAAAGGACTGTGTGGATGCATTGCCCCTTAACCAGGTTTATTTTGGTTTCATTAATATCAAGCAGAAAAAAAGCTAAAGAAAAACAAGACCTACTCTCAAAGCAAAGAAACATCATGTAGAATTTAACATTACTTTAGCTAACACGAAAGTAAGCCTGTGTACATGAGTATGCATGTGGACAGACATACAAAACAGTGGATTTCTTTAAAACTCTCTCACACGGAGGATGTAAAATGTGTATTTGAGAGACCAAAGCAAAGCCAAGAGCATTTGCTGATTAATGTCTTCATCACTGACCTCACTACTAAGTTTATATCTGAACCAAAATTTTCATTTCCTGTATTTTGTACATAAGAAAACAAAACAAAAACAAACAAAAAAAAAAAGCCAACAAAAACACCACCAAAAAGTAATGCCAACAAAAACACCACCAAAAAGTAATGCCAACAAAAACACCACCAAAAAGTAATCCCAGTGTACTGCAAGCAGCGTTGGTATCTCAAGCCTACTGCAATAGCCACAGATTTCAAAATCCTCAACAACAACTCTGAATCAAAGACAAAAAAATGCAGTTTAAAATATAAAGTGTGATCAGAAAAAAAAACTGATCAGAAAGTTTTATTACACACTTGCCTTTCCTTGTCAATGTTGCCATCTTTGATCTTCACTATAAATTGCCATTTAATTTACATATTTTATGAAAAGCATATTAGGAGAGTGAAGGAAGGAAGCAATAATAAGCTGTGTAGTCCTTTCCTTTGAAACACACTTCATCCATTTCAAACTTTTATTTGTGGACTTGCTAGTTTGTTAATCCCTCGGCAGTTTCTGACAAAACTTTCTTGATAGGTGGGACAAGGTATGTAAGTTTGATATTGCTAATAGTTTATACTCTAAGCTCGCTGGTTACTTTGCACATCTTTTTCAAAAAAGGCAACAGGATTATATTGGCAGTGGGAGGTGTATAAGGGAGTTAGGCAGGACAAAAGACCAGCTTCCCATAACAAGCTCAGTGCTATTTCTGCCTAACAGACTCAACAGTGCTTAGCACCATGTACGTTCAGACTAGTGACACTACCCTGATTTCAGTGTGGTGCCATGGGGTGTTCCTGCAGCTGTCCTTGAATTTAGCCAGCAGGGTTGGTAAATCTAATTATACTTAACAATTATCTTTTACATGGAAACAAGTAATAAAAACCAAAGCCCAGCAGGATGAATCTGCCATAATTAACTGTTCCCAAAAGAAAAATATCCTTCAGCATTTCTAGATTTCTATATATGCTGGTAGTCTGTCCCCCAGGACAGACACTTTTATTTGCCCTTAATAACAAACTTAATTTAAAGGGATTCAAATTGCCTGACTAAGCATACTGATAAACATCTATCAAACACATTTCTGTATATCAGATTCCCAAGCTGACAGATTGGTATATGCAATCAAGTTAAGCCCCTACGAAACAAAACAGAAAATCAGTTAATAGGTATCTTGTGGTAGGTATTATACTGATTTACTTTAAAAGGGCATAACACTAAACCAGCTAAATTAGAGACCTCTCTTGTTACACAAAATTAAAGTAACAGAAGTCTGTAGTTTGCTACTCTAAAGTGTAAGTTATCCTCACTTTTCGATGATAAAAGGAATTTGATAAAAGTTACGTTACTGGGACAAGTTTTAGTTCCAGAATATAGGAGCACAAGATAGAAAAAAGGCAGTAAGTAACTGAAAAAGGGAAGCATCATCCTGTTTTGTCTGAGGCTGTTTATATTATAAGAGAAACTAGCAACACCATATAGGCATACTAAACAAAAAATATTAAACATAGTGATGTGAAGGCAGGTGCATGGTAATTAGTCTCGCTCTCAATTCAGAGCTAGTCATGAATTTTGGAAAGCTAAAGGAGATTTACTTTCCTTTCCCAATCACATACTCTTGATAATGCCTTTCTTTACTGATGTATTTACTGAGAAACTGGGCAGCACTTAATTGTGCTTAGACTTAACAAAAAGATGATTTTATGGTAACCAAATACCAACACTTTGGTTCAGAATCAGTAATCTTCACAGTATATCCAGCAGGTTTCTTAATTACAATACTTACTCCCATCACAGCAGACTGAGGCTGCAGCTATCTCTTCTACATATTTATTGCATAAGTATCTGTCTTTGTGCAGTACACATCTTTTGGGTGGCAAACTTCTTGTGACAGTGGATGATTTTTTTAAACCAACAATGTCACTCAAGGCCTGTAGTGCCCCTGCTTGCTGGAGGTCAGGTCACTTCATTAAGGCGCTCTGTTCTCTCTTTAGACAAGGCTGTGCCACACTAACTCAAACTAAGTGGTCAAACTGTTAGTTCATCCTATTTTGCCAGAAACAAATTACTCTGCATCTTTGCTCCAACAGAGTCACAGTAACAAACAACTGCGTTTACAGCTTTGCAACTGGTACTTTTGACTGGCCTGAGGGTTTGCAAAGTAAATATTTACCAACAGTATTTGCTTATTTTTTTTAAAATTAAAACAAACAAATGAGGAAGTTCACATCAGCAATTGGCCTACTTGCTAATACTTATTAAACAAATAATAAAGCACTGCTTCCAAGACAGGCATATTCAAATTAATTTCCTGAAAAAGTTGTCTTTTGCTGGTCTTCACCTGACCTTGGTCATCAAAGAATGAGCACCAGTGAATATTAAGTTCCCTGAGAAATGCGACTCTGGCTGTCCCAAGAATACATAAATTACGTTTGAATTTTTTGCAGAAATTTCAGTTAGTAAGACTAAATCATGGCAGATGGATTCATAAAAAAATATTTGAGGATGAGATGATTTTTTTTTTTTTTTTTTTAATCCAAAGCATACGGCACAAACTCAAGATAGAAAACTTGGCTTTAATTCCACTCTGTGCCCAAATGGATTTGAACTTAAATCCCTGGGTAGAGTGCCCTAATTCCAGTAGGGCTGAAGCTGAGCATTTCCAGTCTGCTTGTTGATGTGCTCCAGTGTTTATAAAATACATTCTACCACACTTTTTTTTTTTTCCTTTCATTACATTTACTGAAATTCAACTGTTTTAGAACCCAGATGAAGATCCAGACCATTACTTACCAAGTGTGTAAGATAGGAAAGACTTAAATTCAGTTTCATCAGAAAAACAATTGCCAGTTTTCCATTATGATCAAAAATGTAGAAAAAAATGCCCAGAATTCATATTTTCTATTGAACCTGATACTGTATCTCAAATAGAGAAATGAGTTAGGACTAGATGCAAGTCCTCCACCAGACCTAAGCAATCAGTATGATTTAGAAGATACACTCTCACAGAAGAGATGATTATTTCAACAGAGCTTGGTAATTTTTATGGTGATAAAGGCTCAACCTTGGGAGTTACTATCTCCTGGCAAATAGAGATAGTATCTTTTGAAATCTTCTCTCTTGACTTTTGTCTCCCAAATGATGTATTATATTCTCTTATTCCTCTACTAGTATTTGATTAGCTTTTTGGAAATGCCAGCTTGCCTCTGGTTCAACAGCTTTGTCTAAAACCTTGAGTTATCTTTCCTAGTTCTCTCAGCAAGCTATTTCCTAACAAATGTGGTTTATTAATCTGCTGCATTTCTGGCAAAGAGAGTAGAATATTAAGTGAGATACTTTACCAGTGTCTGGCATTACAAAACATATGAGAAATACTTGAAGTTTCTCTGAACTATAACATCTTTTCCTCTGCTTTTTCACTGCAGAGTAGAATAAACCTGCCCTCCATTATGGTGTTTTAGTGGAATCTCAGAACAAAACTCAAAAAAGTCTAAAAGACTGGAATGCGTACCATGATTTTCCAGTGGCTGTTAGCTTAGTCCATGTATTTTTACTCCAAAATGCAAATAGGTGTGGAAGCGCATTACTGTGTTTTTAAGTCTTATGGGTAAAATTATTTCCTTAAGAAATTTTTTGGCTAAGCTATGGTCCTGTGGTCAAACAAGTCAAATGCTGGAGAAATGAAGCAAGGAAATGTAGTCTTGAGGCATAACATAATACTGTTTGCTTACATAAACACACGTCTCACAAAAGCCAAGTCTTTCTGACAGAAACACCGTGAAGGATTTCAGCTTTGTTTAGACATCTCTCTCCAGAAAATTTATCCATCAGCATAAAGAACAGTTACTGCACACTCCAACTCTCTTTAAAAAGAAACTTTCAAGATACTGACTTCGCTGCAAGTTCCCTCCCTTTCCCAGGAGTAAGCACACACAGTTATTGATATATTTACACTGATTGTATTGCAGCCTACTAGTACAATACCACACCAGTGAAACCCATTAAACACTTCTTGAAACTAAGCAGATCATTCCTTGCAGCTGCGGAAATACCAACATGTGACACATGATATATATATGTATAAGCAGAATAAAAAAATTAGAGGAATACTGACAAAAATCACAAACCAAACAACCCACCCAAGAATCAAGAATACATTTGTTCAGGCATCAGCTAGTGACACTAGCCTGCTAGGCGTCCATTTATCTGTCTAAGCTGATATACATCAGCATTAACTGTGAGAAGCTTCACATTTTAGGTTATTCCTGCAACAAACCAACTATTATTACATTATAGAAGTACATTATACAGATTGGTAGTGAGATATCATAAGTTTCCATGAAGCACTTAAATAACAGCTACTTTCATTCTACCTTAATAACATGAGTCTGTCTCTTTCCTCATCTTCTGTGTTGTCTTCCTGTGTAGAGAAAAGAAACAAATAGTACAAGGCTGGATTTCAATTCAAGACCAACTTGGTCTACTGTTCAACTGTGCTGCTTTTGTCTGTTTTCAGAAGGATAAATACTTCTTGCTTATTTAAGTGTTTGTAATTTTCTTGTTGTAGTCAAGATTGCACCCTATCATTTTCTAGCTAGCAGCCCATGTGAGGGAGCAGGAAACTCTAACGCAATCCTAATAGAAACAGCTGGAAGAAACATAAGCTTTAAAATATTAAAATATTATTTTAATGACTGCTAAATTAGGGGCACTTTTCTACATATGATAAAGCAGTAACTCAGTAGGAACACAAATACAGGAGAAGTGTACTTAAAAAATACCCAGACCATAAAGCATACCAGTATACAGCACTTCTTTCAAAAGGAGGAAAAAGAAAAAAAGAGAGGAGTTTTTTTTTAAAAAAAAGCCTATTTAGTCAATAAAAAGTGGTGGGTTTTATTTTCTGTTTACTATTATGCAATGGTAATAATAGCAAACCGACAGGGAAGTCTCAGCTTGGATTCAGAAGAATAATTTCCCAAGCCCAAACTTGCTGTAGTCTGAGTGCAGCCATCTCTACTCCCTGAGAAAACTTAGCTCTGCAGCTTTTCCCATTGATGTATTCCATATATTAAATTCTCTTCTGCTCAGGTTACCTGCAATTTCGCACAGTTTAAGAGCTATGATAACCCTGTAATTGGTAAGCATTGTAGCAAACAGAAGATACAAATTTAAAACAACAAGAGTTCTTAGTTGAATACGGGAGGAATATATAAGGAACACCAAGGCAGTCAAATGGGAAGGATTTTAAAAGATGCTCCCCAAACCAGCTGGAGCTTTTGCCATTTAAGACTGAATGAAGTTTCACCTTTGAAAGAACTCAGTGGTACCATTTTAATTTATTTTAAAAGATAATAGAGTTTTGAATCTGACCTTGTGTTATCTATACTCCAGACAGCTAGCGATGTAATTGGAAACTGGAAAAACTATTCTGGCTTTGGTACCCTCTTCACTTTTTATCCTTTCATCTCTTGTGATTTTTCCTGCCTCAGCACTATATCCTGATCTAGAAAATTGGGACCTGACAAATATCCAACAGTCTGTAGTACAGACAGAAAAGTGCTATTGTAACTACATCAGTCATGTAGTTATCGTGTAGTAACAAAACAGCCAATGCATACCTAATCAGACCTGCCCAGGAAGAGCTTGTCATGCACAAAAAGTGATCAAGTAATCTTCTATTAACTCAAGCCTCAAGCAACCTTACAATAATTATCATAAAAATTGAAACCTTCTGATTTAGGCCCCAAGTCAGGCAAACACTTATGCATGTGCTTAACTTTAAGAACTTAAATATGCTAAGCACTTGCTAAGTAGGTTGGCAAGCAATGAACTGCCTTGTTAAATAAAGTAAGACCTAAATCTTACACACACACAGCAGTTAGTGCCTGCCAAGAGGAATTTCACACACAGCACTGAACTACACAATTTTCATTCAGTTACATTACTAACACTGATGATGCTCAGGTGAAAAAGAAGATGATGAGCTCAACAGCTCTTAGATCAATGATTTAGCATGTGAGAATGCCCACCTGAACTCCAAGCTTTTCCACTTTTTCTTTCTTTGCTCTCCTGCCCTAATACATGCACATAGTTTTCAGTTTCACTATAGATTTCCATAATGATGAAATAGGAATTGAGGTTTTCTTAATCTTGACCCCAAATATACTGGCACTCACTTTCCAGCACCACAGTGTCCTGGATTTACCAACCAGTATACCTGTCTGAACATGGCAGTCACTCTGGGACAAGGGAAACTACTGCTGGACAGATGGTTAGGACCTCCTGAGGTCTCTTCTATCCTGAAATACTCTACAGTCCTAAAGCAATCGGTTCCCATAGCTCTGTGGCTGCAGTACTTGCTCAGGATGGGAAAGCTAGGTTCAATTCCTGCATCTCCCCAGGAGTGTGCCCTAACCACTGCAAACTCCAGTGGGTGAGTACATTTCATTCCAGCCGATGTAGCTGCCTTGTTTTATTCTGGCCTTGCTCCAACATTTTGTTAAACATGTGGGGACTGAACCTAGGTTTCTCTCTTCCTCTGCAGTGACTACAGTTCCCCTAGGTTAAAGAATCAGCACGATTTTTGTTCAAACTCCCTCTAGGATGATCAGCTTTTTAATTATTGCAAGGTCTTCACTGGAACCTTTGCAACAAGGGGTACTAAGTGTTTTCTTCCTGCACTTTACAGTACAAGTAAAGAAAATAAACTCTCTTTAGAAGTGGCCCAGCTATGAACAATACAGAGCACACACAGCTTCATTGTTTACTTCACTATACCTTAAACATACATAACTGTTTTGTAATTGCACATGGATTTCTGCATAAGAGCAAGGATTTCTCCAGGGATCTCTGCAGTTAGTTAGTGTAAGAAATTGCTCTAATTAACAACTTTTTCAATAATTTAAGAATGCATCCCTTACAGACAAGGAATCTGGAGCCACAGAGAAGAACAGGGCTGAAAAATAAATAACATTGTGTATCGGACAAAAACACAGAAACACATTGAATTATTTCTTTTTCTTTTCATTTTAAAGTTAGGGTTTGCCTTTAGAGTTTTGGACTTCTTCCCCTAATAGCTAAAGCACTGCGAAATGGTTCAAAACACTATTGCATATTGCATTTGAACAAATTAGTATTTGAGTGGAGGGTAAAATATGCCGAAGAGAATCCATTTATTTGACAGTACCTTAGGCTACTTTCATCAAAAAACTGCAATCAAAAAGTTAATTTCAGACAGTACACTGAGGCAGTACATAATAAAATTTCCACACTTTCTATAACCACAAGTTTTCCAATACAAGTGAAATTCCCAAGCTCTTTTGAAAATGCAAGTCACTAAAGTACTAAGCGGTAATTTTTGATCCAAAGGTTGTATACTAATGACTTTACCTACCTCTGTCCAAACACAATGAAAGAAATATTAAAAGGTGTCAGGAGTTTTAATTTTGCAGAGGTTATGGAGAGTCTGCTGTAAATTAAAGGGTCCCTCTTTATCAGGTCTGCATGATTCTCACCACTGGCCCTGTCTAAAAGCATTCTTCATCCATGCACCTTTCCCCAAGAAGCATCTCTCTTTTCTGATGATGCAACAGAAGGCCAGCAGAAAATATGCTACTCCTTTGAGTGCTGCCACTGAGGGCACATTTCTTCAGAATCTACTAATACAAAAAACCCAAAAGATAGCCCCAAACTCATCTTCTCCAGTGGCAGGAATATTTAAAACATAAAGCAGTGCTTTTCAAAAATGCACACCTTTATAACCCATCATCTTTAGCACAGTGTTTTGGACACAATACCTTGACTTTGTTTTGTTAAACTTTGCTATGACAAATGTTTTTCTGGCTTCCTATTAATAGAAAGTAATCATAAGAGCATTGTTGGGAGAGAAGCTATAACATAAAGTCTCAAAGAAAAGTTGTACACACCACTGAATATAGTGCCTCAAAATTCACAGCAGAACGAGCTGCTGGGACCAAACCCATGTGATAATTTATTAAAACATAACTTTTGAGAGATCAGCTGCTAGAAGGATAAAAAAAAATGGGCTTCTTTTAGGTACAGTAAACCTGAGTCAATATCTGGCATTGCTTGGTTCAGTTACTCTCCAGCTAGTTAAGAAAAACTTCCAAGAACAAGGAGTCAGAATTTGCATTCAAAATATAAGTAGCTCAACAATATATATATTCATTTACATACTTTTTAAATATAAGCATCTTCTCCAAGTATGTAATATAGAAGAATCATCATAAATTTAATTTTCCTTTTTCTTTTATAGAAATTATACTGTAATGCCCATAACACTGTTATAGGTGTTTAATTTTAGTACTCTCTTTCAAAGCTATTTCATTATGTTTGATAGATATTTATTAATCTGAGGTCATATAACCTCAAGAATGTACTAAATAAATTAGCCATGGTAATAATAACCTGCTTCACCAACAAGATTTTTTGAACCAAATTATTCTAGTATGAAAGAAAGTGGGATATACCTTACAACTGTAACCTATATACTTTACTAAATTATAATATTCTATCCTCATTTTAATTAGGATGCAATATTAGTGTGCCCTTTGCTATTGAGAATTCACGTTTTTAACAGAACCTAGGAGATATTGAGCAGAGATATCCATGGTTTTACCCCTAAGATAGATAATTAATCTTGAAAAACAGAATTTAAAAAAAATAAAACTATCAGAGAAACATATTAGTATTAATATATCTTGAAATAGAATATAGTCTAAGTATTCAGTATCACAATCAGTTAAGTCTTCAGCTCTAATCTCAAAATTTGTTCATGTATCTTCTGTGCAGAATACTATAAATTAGTAGGGGCAGAGATTTTAGGTTTTGACAGTATCTTTCTCTCTCATTCTAAGGCCAGAACAGGTAAGTCTAGCTTTTCTGGAATTAGAATACCAATTTGCTGCAGCCTGAGTTTATCACAGCTGATAAAAATTTAATGCTATATTGTTATTTTTAATGAGGCAGATGATTTGTGAAAACACACACATGTCAAAATTTGAAATATTTATTCATTTAACAGAAACAGTAATTTTGAACTTCAAAAACCTCTCTCAGAGTTGGTAAAAACAGGCATCATCCACTGCAATATCAAGTAACTCTTGAAGCTGATCCAACTGTAAATTCAGCATTTTGCTACACTGATGCATGCAAGCAGGATGATACATGCTAATCTCCTGAAAAGGCTTTATAATTACCCTGATTAAATATGGCTATAATAATTGTTATTTCTAGATCTGTTTGATGTTTATTAAAACAGTTTAGATATATGTTACCTTACTTCTCTGGCCTGGTTCCTTCCTCCCTGCCCAAACTCAGAGCTGCAATATGAAACACTGCAATGCCACTTCATCATAGTGCTCAGAAAGCATCTTTTAAGGGTTTACTTTCCCCAAT